CAAGACTACCTAATATACTTTGGACATGTTATCAGGAGGGATCCGTCCCTGGAGAAGGACATCATACTTGGTAAAGTAGATGAGATGGATTGACACAGTGGCTGCAACAATGGGCTCAAGCATAACAACAATTGTGAGGTTGGTGCAGGACCGGGCAGTGTTTCGTTCTGTTGTACACAGGGTCACTATGAGTCAGAACCAACTTGACGGCACCTAACAACAAGAACAACAGGGGAATCTAAGATACAACTATTGGTCTCTACACATCCAGAGTAAAACAGAAAAAAAGAAACCAAAGATTCAGAGAAGAAACTAGTCCACAGGATTAACAGTCTACATGAACCACGAACTTATCTACTCTGAGACCAGAAGAACTAGATGATGCCCAGCTACCACTACTGACCGGCTACCACTATTGACCATTCTGATCAGAAACACAATAGATAGATTCCAATAGACTAGGAGCAAACTGTGGAACAGCACCCAAATTCTTAAAAAGTCCAGACTTACTGGACCAGTTGAGACTGGAGGACTCCCTGAGACTATAGACCTGAGATACTCTTTAAACCTGGAACCAAAACTATTTCACAAGATCATCTTTTAGCTAAATAATAGATTGGCTCATAAAATAAACAATATCGTCTGTGATTACTGTGCTCCTTTAAAAAAAAAAATCTATATAAGCCCAAATGGTCAACATTTACCTAAAGCAAAGATGAGAAGATGGGGGGGTGGGCAGGGAAGCTGGATTACTAGAAGCAGAACAACCAGAATGGAAATAATAAGAATGTTGACACAATGTGGAAAATGTAACCAACGTCACCGAACAATATGTACAGAAATTGTTAAATGGGAACCTAATTTGCTATGTAAACTTTCACCAAAAACTCAATAAAATATTTTTAAAAATTAAAAAAAGGTATCTCACTCTCCTTGCTTTCCTCCCTCCTCTCCCACTGCTCCTTCCCCATCTCCTTCATGGTAACTATTCCTCTGCTCATTTCTTATATGTTGGGGTTTCCCAGGGTTCATTCTCTAGGAGTACTCCCGCCCACACCCATGGTTTCAATCAACGTGCACGTAACTTTCAAATATCCGTGTCCAGCTCAGACCTGAGCTGCAACCCTGCTGTTTATACAAGTACCTTTGGGACATCCCCCGGATGCTCATGCTGAAGAATCATCTCCAAGACCTCTGTCTCCCTTGCCCCTTCTTCCACTCCTCAGCCACCATCTGAGAACTCTGTCTTTTGTCCACTTTGTCCACTTCTCCCCATCTCCAAGGTTCACGCCTCATTGCTCAGCTTCCTCAAACGTGTCCTATGCAATCTGTTCCGGGTTCTCTGAGCAATATCTGGTTTTATTACCTCTGGGCTTTTTTATGCATGTTTTATAGTCCCCCCACTCCCACCCACCTAGTGCAAATTCCCAGCCTCAGCTATTGCTTCCAGGAAGCCTTCTCTGACCAGGCTGGGTTCAAGCCCCAATTATGGGCTCCCATAGTTCCTGTGCTAAGCCCAGACATACTGTGTGCCCTGCTGGACCCGAGACACTCGAGAGCAGACAAAAACCTTGCTCACCTGCGATCCCAGCACTCAGCACACAGTCTTAGGCAATAAATGTTTGTGGACTGAATAAGGGCTGCTTGAGGTAGACCCTCTGCTCTGTTGCCGTGCTCTTTGACATTCCTGGGCCCTCTCCCCTTTCAGCTCCCCAGCAGAAAGAGGCCACTGAATTCCCTCACTGCCTATAGTAGGCAGAATAACGTCCCCCTTCCCCAAAGATGTCCATGTCCATAACCTGTGAATATGTTACTTTATATGGCAAAAGGGACTGCAGATATGATTAAATTAAGGATCTCAAGATGGAGGGTTATCCTGGATTATCCCAGAGGGCCCAATGTAATCACAAAGGTCCTTATAAGAGATAGGCAATAGAGTTAGAGAGAGATAAGGATGGAAGCAAGGGAATGGATTCTTTCCTAGAGCCTCCAGAAGAAATGCAGGCCTGAATTTGATTTTAGTCATGACACTGATTTTGGACTTTTGACCTCCAGAACTGTAAGATAATAAATTTGTGTTGTTTCAAGTCACTAAGTTTGTGGTAATTTTTTATAGCAGCAACAACAGACTAATATACTGCCTTCAGTATATGAGTAGGGGTGGGGGTGGGGATAAGTAATCCGAAAAGATTTCCTGCAAGCCCAGGCAGTGAGACTGACCTAGGTTCATATTCCAGATCATTTATTACCTGTGTGACCTTGAGCAAATTAACCTCTCTGAATCTCAACAACAATGCATTGTTAACAGTAGTTAACAATGTTCATACATTGTCCACAGGATTGGAGAATAGGATACTGTTTTAATTTGTAAATGGCCCACTTACTTTTTTTTAATGTCACATCTCTTTGTGGGTTTACACACATTCATTCATTCCTTCATTCATTCAACAGGTATCACTGAACACCCAGTACATGCCTGGCACCCATGCCTGGCACCATGCATAGAGTGAGTGTGTAGTCCACTACAATCGGCAAGCATTTCTTACCTCAACTGCCACTGAGCTCTCAGTTGGTCCAGTGCCCAACCTCACCACCCCCATCCTAAATGCAGGCCCTTACACCTACCCACTCACATGGTCTGTTCTCTTGATGGACCCAGCCTGGCCAGCACCACCCCTTACCCTTCCAGGTGCAGTTTCTGTAGCTGCCATGAGCAGTCTCATCTCTGCCTTCATCCCAAGCCCTGTCAAAATCCTCCCCTTGGAAGGGCAAGATGCTCCCTCTGATCATACTTTCAACACTCCCTTTTCATCTCATTCTCTGTGCATGTCCCTTTTCCTACCTTGTCCTTTTAGCTCCCAAACATCTCCTCCCTCTAACTCAAGAAAGGCTAAGCTAACAGGAGAGCTGAGCCCTAGCCAGCCAATCCAGAAGCAGGTAGGAAGAACCAGGGATGCGCATTCACTGGGCTTTTCTGATACTGAAATGGGGTCTAAGGGATGAAGACAGGATACTCAGACCTACCTGGAGTTCCCAGACAGCCCCAGTCACCCCACCTCTCCAGCTCAATACCCTCGGTGCCTATCCAGTTGAACTGTCACCCCCGCCCTGTGGAGCTCCCCAGCTCCAGTGGACCCATCTGGATTTCCTAATCCCATAGCTCCCAGCTTCCAGTCTAACCTCCAGGTCTCCTTGGGAATGGAAATGCTGAGCTCTACCCCAGCCAGGTCTGGGTGTACTAGCCCTAGCCCGCTTGTCCCTTTCCAGGAAAAATGGTCGGTCCAGGGTTGATTTTCCTTGTCCTCTGTCTGCTGTCCGGAACAGTGTATCATTTACCCAGTCCAGGCCCAGGGTTCTCTTTCCTCAGAGCCCTCTCTAGGGCAGGATGAGAACCTGAACAATTAAGCAAGAAAATTGGTTTGAGTCCCTTTGTGGTGGTTTTGGGGGAAGTCTGGCTAAGTGGATGGAGCCATCGGTGGGGAGGCAGGAGATTTGGGTTCTCTAACCTGGGCATTACCATAGATTTATAACAGATAACCCTGAGCAAGTTTCTGCCCTGTCTGGGTACTGCAATCTGCTCCTGTAAAGATTACAGCCTAGGTAACCCTATGGGGCAGTTCTCTGTCCTATAGGGTTGCTATGAGAATCAACTCAATGGCACACACTATCCCTGGCAATGGTGCATAACGGCCACAAGAGGGCGGGCATCTTCTTCAGCTTAAAGGTTTGTAGACTAAACAAACAACAACAACAACAACAAAAAACAAACCCGTTGGCCCTCGAGTCAAATTCAGGGTTCCAGTAAACAAGTGAGCCTCAGAAGGAACACTGAGGCTTCCAGGTGGAAGGGCACACTGCAGACTGGCAACAGAGTAGGGATTGGAATGGGGTATTTAAATTCCTAGCCCAAGGGGAATTCAGGAGCCCCAGGACCAGGAGGGGTGGTAAGGAGAGGGCTGGTGGGCAGCAGAAGAGAGACTGAGCATATACTTTGGAGATTTCGGACACTTTGAGAAGAGTGGAGTAGAGTCTTTAGGGGAGGGCCATAACTAAAAGTATTGCCCCAGAAGTTCTGGGGTGGGGCTTGTAGAACAAGACTTTTGGGGAGGTGGAGGTAATCAACGAGGCTTCCTTCCCTTCCCCAGCGTGGAATGAAAAGTGGAGAAATTGCAGGAGTTATTACAGGATTTGGGGAAGACTCCTCCATCTCAGAGCCCCAAGGGCACAAGTGAATAACTAAAGGACACCTGGCATCGTTTTCCCTCCTTTTTGCCTTCCACTAATTTAGGTTTAGGGTCTAGGAAAAACAAGAACCACCAAATGGGGCAATCATCTGGGGTTCAAAGGGTTAATTTTCAAGAATTCATTCTGACCTAAGCCATAGCCCTTGTCTCCCACCCCCCATCTCTGGGCTTGTCCCCTCACTGGGCCCCAGGTTGGCAGCTTCCCTGATTCCTTCTTTGGTGTAATTCACTAGGGCCCTAGGACCGGTGCCCAGAGCCAGTCCCCTGCTCCCTTCCTCAGGTCCCAGGAGTCTAGGGCTTACTTTAAGGGAGGAAAGAGGCCTTCCCCTCACTCCCTCCCACCTCCCAGGATGTGGGCCCTGGGACCAAAGAACTTCTGTCTTTCCCTGCCACGCCCCCATTGTTGCCCAGACAAGGGGATGCCTTGTGTCCTAGCCTCCAGCAGGCATCCTTGTGACTAAATGGTGGAAGGCATGGGGCAGGGTGGGGGAAGGAGAATCACAGGGTCAGAGCAGAAAACACCTCCCACCATCCAAAATTCTGATATACTCCCCCAGACCTGAGAGCTCAAACCTCTCCGTCCCTCCCCTCAGGCTACCGTCAGCAAGGGGGAGAGCTGGCTGGGGGCTCATCTGCATATAAAAGGCCTGAGGTCTGAAGAGGAAACAGACCAAGAAGGTGTGGCAACACAAAGGCTGAACTTCCTGGCAGGCAGATTTGGAGCTGGAATAGAAGAATGGGGGCAACCCAGGGCCTGGGTAAGACAGGGAACTGTGGCAGGGGTGGGCCAAACAGAATTTATTGACAGGAGTAGGTAGAGGCCTTTGCCAAATTCCCTCCCTAAAAGCGCAGGGATAGGCGTACTGGCACCAAAGACAGGGAAGCAGCCACAGAGGAAAGGAGATCATCTAGGATAAAATGAGAACACCCTGTTCAGGAAGTAAGAACCTTTCTGAAAACAAGCACAAACACCTGACAGAAAGTGAGAAAATTTCCTGCCAGAGGGAGTAATGTGTTCCCACTCACAAAAAGTAATGGTATGGACAATAAATGATATAGTGTCACTTAGCAGCAGGGGATCAGACACCTCTTTACTGACCTATCTCCAACCAAGGACTGGTACAGAGGAAGTGTTCATCCCTCCTGGCAGGAAATGACATCACTCAACAGACAGGAAGGGTGGTTCTACTCCAAAGGCTTTTGGGAGGGCCAATCCATGGAGGGATGGCCCTGAGTGTCCATGTCTTTCCTCAATCCTCCCCCTTGGCGAGGAGTGGGGCCAATGGTCCTAAACATTGGGTGAGGTAATCTCACCCGTCTCTTCACCAGTGATTCCCCTAGGGGTCCTAAATCCCTCAAATCCTTACCTAGTGGGTAGGTGTGGATATCAGCACACCAGAAGCCACAGGCCAAGCCTCTAGATTCAATGTTTGTATGGAAATAGTTGTAGGGACTCAATACTTGAGGGGTAAAGGCCAGAGACTCCCCAGGGACCAAAGGGCATGGTAAGGCCAGGTTTCCATGGTAACCACGGCATGCTGATTTCAATGCAGCCTCTTACTAGTCCCAGATTAAGAGAGAGTATTAAGGGAGACCAGGGCCTAGAGATAAGAGAAGCCACAGGAAACATTTACAAGAAGGTCACATCATCCTGGCACTGTCCCCAGAACCAGTGGGCCTCGAAGCCCAGCTTGGCACTCTCATCCTCTGGTGGCTCAGGCAGTCCACCTTGGAGTCCCTCCCCTGGGGACTTCCACCCAACGCTCAATCCCCCTAGTCTGGTAGCTGTCAGGTCCACCTCAGTCCTAACCCTCTCCCCGCCGGGTATAACCCTTGCCCAGTCCATCTCTGGCCGGGGAGGCCCAGGGGGGGCCTGTCCATCCAGCTCGTTGGGGGCCACCGTGTCCAGGAAGCTGCCGATGGAGACACTGTCCAGGCGGTCAGTGGAGCCGGTATCTGGCAGGCTGTCCCAGCTGCCCCGTCTCGAGCGGCTTGGGCTCCCACCTGTCAGGCTGTATTGGCTGCTGGTGAGGCTGCTGCAGTGGCTGGTCAACATCCCCCGCTCCTCCAACAGCCAGCGCACTGCCTCGATGCCCTCATTCAAGGTCACCAGCTGTTGCAGGATCTTCACGTCTATAGCTCGCAGGTAAGCCTGGGGGAGTGGGAGAAAGTGTTAGCCTTGGTTCTGGGCCATGGGTTTCCCCAGTATTTCCAGAGGCCACCACCTTGTGGCCCATGCAGCTATGCTTCACTTTGAAGAAGCATAGAAATAGAATGGTTTGAAGTGTGGGCTTTAGAAGCAGAGACTGCCATTTAAAATCCCAGCTCTACATACAACTGTTGGCAACTTTCTTAACTTCTCTGAGCCTCAGTTTACTAAATCACACATCTCACAGGATGGCTATGAGGTTTTGAGATGTTGTCTGTTAAGTACTCAGCATAGTCCCTGCTACAGTAATGTCTCAGTAAATGTTAAGTATTAAAATCTGGTCCCACTGAGCTTTGAACTTCATATTTAGGGTACTAACTATTGAATCAGGGGTCCAGATTCATCAGTAACACAGCCAAAGCATAGCCTGATATGGGGCCAGGTGTTAACTGGGAAGTAGACTAGGCCAAAAGAAGGCAGGAGCTGGGGAACCAAGACGGAGCCAACCTGGGCCCCCAGCCACTTTAGGGTATTGGCAGCAGGTACCAAGGGAAAGAAGGGCTGGCCAGAACTCAGGAGGGTCAGAATCCCACTGGCTGGGGACTCAGGGTTCTCTCCACTACATGTGACAGAAAATCTCCCTGTCTGTACTGGGAGTAAGTTTGATTTACTGGATAATCTCTAGGGTGTACAAGCAAGACTCACTGAGTTACCTTCCCCACGCCAAGTCTGAACCTGTCCCTTCCCTGCTCAAGAGGCTTTATGGGCTTTGCACTGCTCTTACAGGATAAAATCTAAACACGTTAGTAGCTGGCATTTAAAAGCCTGTCATAATACAGCTCTTGCCCATCTCTCTAGCTTCACCTCTAGTATATTTCCCTGTGAACCCAACGCCACACATTTTTTAAAATTGTTTTAATTTCAATAAAAGTAATAGATGTACCTGGGTTAAAGAGGCAAACAGTTCTACAAGGTTTATTATGAAAAGTAACAGTTCCACCATCCTAATCCTAAATCCCACTTCCCAGAGACTATTTTAATTTTTTAGCTATTTCTTTTGGTATTTATCTCCTCATCTCTAAATAACATGTTTATACTGATACTTCTTAATTTTTCAGTTTTGGAAGTTTTCTATTAACTTCCCACACTACAGAAGGTTAAGGATTTAACTCTTTTATCCCACACCCAACTCTTGTCACACAGATATTCTTCCAATTTTCCCATCTTCTCAATATGTGCAATAAAATTATTCAGTGTTTACCTTACTAGGTTTTGGGAATGCTATTTACAGCTAAGCCATGATTGCGATGATTACTTTTCTTGCTTACAAGTTTTTGTTTTCCTTAGGGTTTTTTTAATTAATTTATTTTAGTTTGCTATATACTTAACAGTGACTAACCCCCATACTCTCCCTCAGTTGTCTAAATTTCCCCCTCAATGCTTTAGAAGTCATCCATTCAAAGTCATCTATTCCATCTGCTTAGAAACATCTCTTTGGTAGCCTTCTGATCTGCTCCAATCTGTCCCTCTGCACAGCTGTCCTCTGGGGATCTCCCTTCACCATCATCTGGAGGATTCCCTTGGCCTCTCTCCTGAGCTGGATTCCTGTTTCCTGGATCTCATGTCTTCCTCTTTCTTGATTTACTTCTCCAGTAGCTTCCTGAGAAAGTCTGTATAGGAGGTAAATTTGTTAAGGCCTTGCATGTTTTAAAATGTTATTCTATCTTCACACAGTTGATATTTTGGCTGGGTTTGGAATTCTAGGTTGAAAATAATTTTTTTTCTCAGAATTTAAGATATCGTTCCATTGTCTTTTAATTTCCAGTGTTAAACTCTTTAAAAGTCTGATGCCATTCTTATTCCTGATCCTTTATACGTGACCATTTTTCCTCTCTTACTGGAAATGTTTAGGTTCTTTATTCCCAGTGTTCTAATTTCACAGTAATTTGTCATGGTGTGGGTCTATTTTCATCCATTTAGTTGGCTACTTGATAGACTATTTTAATCTGGGAGATTTTCTTCACTTATTTCTTTGATGATTATTTTTCCTCCAATGTTTTTCTATTCTTTCTGGTAATTCTATTATTTGAATTGAGGGCCTCCTAGACTGATCCTTTTTTTTTCCTCCCTCTTCCATCTCTTTCTACATTTGCTCTAGTTTCTGAAAGATTTCTTCAATGTGATCAATCCTTCTACTGAGTTTTTCATGTTTTTATTTCAAGAGTTGTTTCTCGTTCTCTGAATGTTTCCTTTTTTTTAATAGCTTCTCATTTTTGTTCATGGCTACGATATCTTTTATCTCTTTAAGGATATGATTAATGATTTGTGTATGTTCTCATCTCCCTATATTATCTCCATGTCATTCAAGTTGCTTTATTCTGTTTGTTTAGGTCTATATTTTTCATGTTAGAGGCTCTCATCAGATGTCTTATAATCTTTAGCTGTCTGCTAACACTTCAGAGTAGGGCTCTAAAAAGCTGATTGGAAACTGTAAGCTTCACTACAGGGTGATCTGGCTGGGTTCTTTGAGTAAGGCCTGAAGTCAGTATCTTTTGTTTTTTCTCTTGAGCTCATCATATTCCCCAGAGAAGAATCTTGCACCCTTCACTATGGAGGATATAATATAAGCAAGCCTGCCAATATTCTTCGAGCTAAGTAGGAGAGAAGGCTGGGACCGGTGTTTTCTATATTTAGTACATTCTTATTTAATCTCCCTTACTCTCAGACGTGCTTGGTGTCTCCCAATCCTAGAGTTGCTGACACTTGGTTGCATAGTCATGGAAGGGATCTGAAGTTATGATTCTTAAACAGACTTTCAACCAACTGCTTTATTTTGGCCCCATTCTTGCCCCCAGTTCCAGAAATACCTGGTGTTTCCAATTCCTAAAACCTTTGAGGGTTTATGTAGTGCAAAACGAGTTGCTTTTTAACTTTCCCCACTGCTAGTTTGGGATTCAGCTTTTTTTGGATCTACTAAGTTAGTTACCACTCTTCCTTCTGCTTTTCAGCTTCCAAAATTTTGGTCCTATCTTCTTCTCTCCCATTCTCATCGTCATTATGGCTTCATACCTTTTAAAATAATCATTTACTTGCTTTTTGGTGGAGTTTTAGGAGAGAATGGAGGTAAATGCATGTGTTCAATCTGATGTCTGGAAATGGAATTCCCATTGACTTTATTCATTCTTCAAGGCCCAGTTCAAATGCCACCTCCTCTAGGAAGTCTTCCCTGCCCTTCCTCAAGACAGAATTAATCCATTCAGTCATGAAACAGATACTTATTAAGGGTTTCCTATAGGCCTGGCATTGTGTTAAATGAAAGAAGAAAAGACACCAATTTCTTGCCCTCAGAGAGTTCACAGTCTAGTGGGTAAGATACGACAATGAAGAAAGCACTTAAAATTCAGTGTGACAACTGCTAGTGGAACAATTGCTGCACAGAGGGCTCTGGGTACCTGTAGGTCCATAACCCAACCAGCCAAAGTCAGAAAAGGCTTCCTAGGATAAGGGACATGAGCTGAGACTTGGAGGTTAAGTAGGACTTAGGCGAAGAGGTAGGGAGAGGCATTTCAACTAGAGGAAACACCATGTGCCCCCTCAAATTCAGAGTGGACTTTCCAAACCACAAACTCAACCATGTCAGTCCTTCAGGAGGCCCTCCTTGGGTTCCAACAGCACTTCTCATCCTGCACTAGAGTTGTTAGTCCGTCTTTCTCCTTCTCTAACTCAGACTGTGTAAGTTTCCTGAGGGCAGGTCCTGCCTAATTCATTTTTGGTTCTAAGTCTAGGTTTGGGTAGGTCAGACACGAGAATTCCTCAACTATGACAGCATTACTCCCCAGAATAGAAGAAAACAAGGCCAAGGCCTTCTTACCAGAAAAAGAAACACATTCATTCACACCATCTCTTTGGAAAGAGAAGAGGATAAACAGTTCAAAAGAGATGCAGCCTCAGAGGCCAACTTGATTTTTCTCCAAGGGGGATTCAGGTTTCTCTCCTGAATCACCCTACCCCTCCCCTCAACACGTACAGATTAGACACTGCCCAGCCCTGGGATAATGGGGTATGGCTACCTCATTGCTCCATCCAAATCAGGCTCTAGGGTAGAGATCCCACTCCCAGCATCCTGGTTGTGGACTGAGATTCTCAGATTATTGTTACTAGAAGGGCCCTTAGAGATTGTCTAGTTACAGAATCCCACCCCCATTCCCAGAGGCAGAAAAACTGAAGCTGGAAGAACAGAGACAGGGTCCTGCTCAAGATTACAAAGTAATTCAGGAGCAGAGCCAGGTCTCAAACTCATGTCTTCCTAAAGGCTTTTTCTCAAGCTGCTCTGTGGGGATGGGTTGTCATAGAAACAGTTCTTCAGGTGGGAGGACCAAGGGGAGGTTGCCATTGTTTCTTCTTCCCACATAACCCAGACTTTGGCTTGTTCTCTCAACCTTTGCGTAAAGAAGGGAGGCAGAAGGGAAGAGGCAGAGCTGACCTTGGCCTCAAAGGCAGGCCTGCCCCTCCCTGTAAGGACAGCTGGGAAGGGGACAGTTGAAGCACAGTCCTTATAGGACTTGAACCAGTCCTGCCACCAGTGGCTCCAAGGGAAACCCCCTTGCCCCACACCTTGTCCTCCCTGGGCCCCAGCCAGTGGTCAGGGCAGAGTGCATGAAGGGATCAATGACATCCTTGCCTGAGGAGGGAGAAAGGAATGGGGTAGGGATCCATGGTTGTCTATAAGAAGACTCTCCCTGTTTTGGCCCCTAGAAGATTCCCTCCCTCCAGCTTCAGGCCAGCCAAAGTCAAGAATACAAAGAGAGGAATTAGAAGTGAAATGTACCCACTTTAAAGTTCACAGACGGTAGTCTCCAACAAAGGCAGAAAAGAGTGAAAGCCAGAGATACTAGGCATGGCTCCTCCACTGACTTCCTGCCTGAGCTCAGGCAAGCCCCTTAACACCTCCAAGCAAGTTTCCTTAGCTGTGTGATAGGGAAAATGGTGACTACTTTTCTCACTTCAATGACATAATGTATTTAAAGTGTCTGACACAAAGGAGATCTCAGTGTTAAGATGTAAAAAGTGTAGTCAGACCACCTGGGTTCAAATCCTGGCTCTGCTGTTTACTTTTTGTATGACCTTGGGCAATTACTTAACCTCTCTGTGCCTCAGTTTCTTCATCTATAAAATATCACTTATGTAATAGGGTTGCTGTGGGGACTAAGAGAGTATCTTGTAAAGTACTGAATGATTCCTGGCATATGCACTCGGTAAAAGTTAGCTTTTATTACTAGATGAGGCAAAGCCAGCCCTCCCCAACCCCCCAGCCATCCCGCCCCTCAAGTGAGCACAGTCAACCTTCAAGGCCAAGTGCACATTTGGCATTCAAGTCCTTCCCCCAGGGAGCCTTCCCTGACTGCTCCGCCCACAAGGCTCTCCTCCCAGCCTCTTAGGAGGTAAGAACCCTAACTGGTCTGAGAGCTCCATGATCTCCTCCCCCCATTCCTCACAGCACAGCCTGGCACACAGTGGGGCTCCAGAAGACTTATTAGCTGACACACTCACTGTAGGCTCCTGGTTCTGGGCCAGGGAGTGGCTGGCAATTCCTCAGATCCCTAAAACTAGTCGCAAAGTGGTGGCAGGTGTAAATCACCCCCTTCCTGGGAATCAGGACCCTGCGGAGCCTGTTGGGGGGGTGGGGGAGGGAGCAGTAGCTGCCCTTTTGGCTCTGAATCTAGACCAGCAGCACCAGAGATGAGGAAGGGTGCCTGTTTCCTCGTCTTCTCCCCAAGGAGACACAGATGAGATCCAAATATCCAGTACACCTTGGGAGAGGAGACTGAGTCAGAGGTGAGCGAACAGACAGTGACGGTGCTCCTACTCTGTGTCTGTCACGGTTCTAGAACTTTCAGATATTTTAAGTGGGAGCAGGGGAATGTGGGGACATTGGGGAAAGGGAGGAAGAATGTTTTTAGTGCCCAGTTTTCAGCAGATATGCACCTCACCCAAATCTCTTCTGTGCTGAATCCTGTCCTGAATACTGGAGCCTCAGATAAACCAACCCGCTTCCCAGTCCTCAAGAAGCTCCCACTTTGGACAGGGAGAAAAAACAGGATGTCCTACAAAGGGGGTGGGGTGGAAACAGGTGGTCCCTGTGTGGATTTGTCCTCTGCTAGGTTCTCACTACCTTCCCAGACCTCATCTTCCCACTCCCATTTATTTGGCAGGATAACTTCCTAGAGCCTGTGACTTGCACCCCAAGTCCTCAGGTCCCATCAATATCCCACTTACCCTTGGGGAGCAATTAATAGAGATCACTCCACCTCCACCCGCAAGATTTGTGGATAGGCTTGGGTGCGATCCTGAGGGGTAGGTGAGGAGTTTTAACTCCCTCCTCTCCAGCCCAACTTTGGGGGCATCAGTCCGACCTTTACGGCCCTACACTGGGTACTCCGACCCCCTGGCCCATGGAGCCGACACTCACCAGCTCTATCCTCAGCGCCATGATCTTGTCCCCCAGGCCATGGCCCGTGCTAGCTGCCCCCGGGAGCAGCAGGGCGCCAGCGGTCCCTGGCTCCCACTCGCCTCGCAGCCCGCGCAGCAGCCCTTCAGGGGTCTTCCTGCCCACCTTGCCCTCCAAGTCTCGCAGGTCGGGCGCCTGGGACTCCGCGGTCCCCTCCATGCGGACCCAAGCCTGAGCCAGTGCTGGGGACAGGACGCCGGGGTCTCTTTCCCGGGGGACCTCCTTTCTCCGCAGCCAATGCGGAGCGGAACGGGTGGGTCCCCGCCCGCGCGGCGCGGCGCGGCGGGGGGGGGCGGGAGGAGGATGCCGTAACACTCAGAAAAGCGGCGCAAAGCTATATATATAGACACATATATTCGAATGCCGCGCACACAATCTCTAGGCGGGGAATGCGGAGGGCTGGGCGATACTGGATTTGTACCTGAAACGGCACCTAAGAGATCTCCACGTCTTCTCCCCACCCTGGCACTGAATCCAGCCAGGCACAGAGCAGGCGCCCAATAAATGCATGCTGAATGATGGCTAAGCATCCTCATCCAGTCAGGGATGTGGAAGGTTAAAGAACAGCATTAGCAGAGGAGGCTGCGCAGGATTTTGGAAGGCTTCCTGGAGCAGAGAAGCTGGGTCTAAAATTGTCTAGATTTAGCCAGTCACTGGCACACACACTCCAATACTAGCCCCCCAGTGGCTAGAATTTAGACAGAAGGAGCAGAAAGTAAAGCCCTCCTGGCCAGTGAGCAGACAAATAGTGCTGAAGCTGGAGAGGTCCACATGGGCCAAATTCTCCTGGATCTTGTAGACTGGTGCTTTTAAGCTTGCTTGTGCATACGAATCATCTATGAATTTTGTTCTGTAAGTAGTGAGGCCTGAGATTCTGCATTTCTAACAAGCTTCCAGGTGTTGGCCATGCCACTGGTCCACAGACCACACTTTGAGTAGCAAGGTTATGTTTTATTCTGTGAGCAATGAGGAGCCACTAAAAACTTTGTTCTTGTTTTTGGCTTGGTTTTTGTTTTTAAAACAAGAAGTTCCAGTCTATGGTTATAAAAGGATTTACGGTGAAAATACTACTCCTGCTTTCCTTTACCGCCTCTAGTCCCATTCTCCATAGGCAACCACTTTTTGTTTTTTTTCTGGTGTATATACCCATAATTCTAAACAGTAGGCTTATACTATTATTTCTTGATTTTAAACATCGTCTACTGACTTCCTATTATAAATATGAATTCAACTCACTTACACTCTCTACTTCCCTTCCTCCATTGGTCCTATATACTTCCATCACTATTTTTAGTTCATCTAATGGTTACCTTTGTAATTTTAAGTAACATATTGTTCCTTAGACATTATCTCTTCAACTATGGAAGGGTTTTAAGTCAAAGACTGACAAAAAACATTTGTATTTTTGAAAACTTGCTCTGAATTTCATAAGGAGAAAGGATTGAAGGGTAAAAATCTGGAGTCCAGCAGGCCAGTTAGAAGATGAGAAACTGAAATGGCCTGGACCAGTAGTCTGGTAGTGAGACTGGAAAAGACTCAGGCTAGAATGGGGCTCTTTAGGAGGTAAGATTGACAGGACTTGGTGACTAGTTACATTCATTTATTTATGGTGGCATTCAAAAAATATTTGTTAAAAGAACAAATAAATTATTTCAACAAATATTATGGAGAGCCTACAATGTGCTAAGAGGCCTCATGGTGCAATTTTTAAGCGCTCTGCTGCTAATCAAAAGGTTGGCATCTGTAACCCACCTAGTGGCTCCTCAGGAAAAAGACCTGGTGGATCTGCTCCTGGAAAAATTGTTGCGTTGTGTGGAGTCAATTCTGATTCATAGTTACCTTATAGGACTGAGCAGAACTGCCCCATAAGGTTTCCTAGGCTATAAATCTTAAAGGGAGCAAATCGCCAGGTCTTTTCTCCTGTGGAGCTTTTGGCGGGTTCAAACTGCTGACCTTTCAGTTGGCAGCCAAGCGCTTAACCACTGTGCCACCATGGTTCCTTCTGTAAATATCACAGCTTAGAAAACCCCGTGGGGCAGTTCTACTCTGTTACATGGGGTCACTATAAGTCCAAAATGGACTCTGCAGCACCTAACAACTTACTCTCTACACTGTACACCATAACAACAGTATGTGCTAACCATTGTGTGTAGTGTAGAGAATATATTGTTGCGGGCCATCGAGTTGATTTTCACTCATAGCGACTCTATAGGACAGAGTAGAACTGTCCCATAGGGTTTCCTAGGCTGTATCTTTATCAAAGCAGACGGCCAGGTCTTTTCTCTGAGCTGTTGTTGAGTTCGAACCGCTGACCTTTTAGTTAGAGCCGAGCACTTTAACCATTGTGCCACCAGAGCCCCCTGTGGAGAAGGTAGTGGTGAGCAAACAGACCTGGACTAGGAACTGGAGAGAGAAGGAGGAATCAAGGGTGACTCCCAGCTCTTTGGCTTGATGTGATTTAACAGGGAAGGAAAACTAAGAAGAGGTCTGGGAGTGGGAGGAGATGACTCCAGCAGGGAGTCATGAATTGGAGGGGCCTGTGGAAATGTCTGGAGTCCCCGGATGGTGCAATTAGCTAAGCGCTCAACTCTGAATGGTTGGCAGTTTGAACCCACCTAGAGGTGTCTCAGAAGAAAAGCCTGGTGATCTGCTTCTGAAAGGTCACAGCTTTGAAAACCCTATGGAGCACTTCTCCGCACACATGGGGTTGCCGTAAGTCAGAATCAACTCAACACAACTGTTTCTGTTTTGTTTTGTTTTTTGTTCAGGATGTCCAGCAGTTAGTTGGACACAAGGGTCAGCCTGGAGCTTAGGAGAGAGGTTAGGGCTGCAGATATGAGTTTGGAAATCTAGATGGTAACGGAGGTCATGAGAGTGGGTGAGATCTTCCATGGAAAATTAGTTTGAGAAAACAAAGAAGGTTAGGTAGGAACCCAGGGACATCTTTTTAAAATGTTAATAAAATGTGTTGGGTTTTCTTCTGTTCTAACGTATACTTATTAGGAAATATCACTGATTGCCTCAGTTCCTAAGGTAAGTATTGTTAACATTTTGGGGGATACCATCCCACCGTTTAAGAAGCCAACAAATATGAAGAGCTCACAAATATCTAACTAGTCTTCTGGCTTCCTCTAATGTCTCCTTTGAATCCATTCTCCACAAAACAGTAAAGTTTCTCTTAAAATAAAAATCAGATTATATCACTCCCCTGCTTAAAATCGTTCCATGGCTACCCATCAATTTAAAATAGAAACTTGTAAGAAATGCAAAATCCCACCCTAGCCTACACTACCGAATCAAAACCTCTAGGGATTAGGCCCAGCAATTTGTGTTTTAACAAGCCCTCCAGGTGATTCTGCTGCAAGCTAAAGTTTGAGAACCACTGTGTTAGTCTAAGCGCTTTATACGTATTATCTCATTTAACTTTCACGACTCCGTATTACTATTGCCAGTGTAGTGCTCTAGTTAAGAGTAGAATCTGGAGCCAGGTCGCCTGGGTTTGAGTCCCAGCTCTTTCAACTTTGTGACATTCGCCCTAATTCTTTTTTACCTATAAGATTGGGATGATAATAACCAAAAAACTAAACCCCTTGCGGTCAAGTTGATTCTAGCTTATAGAGACCCTGTAGGGCAGAGTAGAACTGTCCCACAGGATTTCCAAGGAGTGGCTGGTGGATTCAAAACGCCAACCGCTTGGTTAGCGGCCGTAGCTCTTAACCACCGCACTACCTGGGCTCCAACGGGTTGTTGTGGGATTAAACGAGTTAACGTGAGTAAAGCGCTTTTAACAGTGATTGGCATCATATAGTAAGCATCATATAAGTGGAGCCCTGGTGGTGCAGTGGTTAAGAGCTACAGCTGCTAACCAAGAGGTTGGCAGTTTGAATCCCCAGCTGCTCCTTGGAAACCCTGTGAGGCAGTTCTATCCTGTCCTACAGGGTCGCTATGAGTGGGAATCAACTCTACGGCAAAGGGTTTGGTTTTTTTTTAAGCATCACGTAAGTGTGTCTCCATTTAACAGAGAAGAGAACCTAGGCTAGAGATGAAGTGACTTGCCCGAGATCAGGGTGTGTGATGGAACCAGGTTTTTAATCCAGGCCCCTTCACCTCCAAAGGCTATGCATACCCTAGGCTAGAGTGCAGCCTTCCGTAGGGCAGGCCCACCGGGGTGAAGAGCTAGGTCTGAGGCCTGGACCCCCTCTGACCCTAAAGTGGCCGGCTGTGTGGTCTGGTGAGAGTCGCTAAGACTCTGATTTGAACCGGGTTTGCCATCCGGCGGGTCTGGGGAAGAAGGCTGCTCTCCTCCAGGAGCCCAACCGCCGGGAGGTGGGGATTGGCCACAAATCTGCCAAGTGCCTGGGTAGGACTAGCGGATCAGATATATCCCACCGCCGCCTCTGGTTCCCTAAGCACCACCCACCGCCCTCTCACCCCGCGGCGGCGGCGGCGGCGGCGGAAGCG